GCCCGGGACTGGGCCAGCCTCTCACGCTCCCGGGCCCGGGCCTGGGCCGCGTACCCGTAAGGCATGTGACTGTTGCACCCTGAGCTCTCTGCACTCACCATCGCCACCTCCATGGTGGTGGCTTCAGGAAATGGCTGGTTCCAGGTGTGAAAGAAGGAAGAAGGGGAGAAAATAGGGCAGCTTCTCTGCTCACCAAGCGAAGGTACGTTTGGAACTCTTCAGCAGATTGCTTGGAAGACTAAGGATATTTTCAGTCCAGCTTTGCATTTTCTGTTTTTAAATCAGCACAGCCCTATGTTCTCTCTGCTCGGGGACTCGGCATTGCTCTCCAGACCTCCGCTGGCCTAGACAGCTTCGCGCTTCTCAAACTTCAAGTCAGAAAACGCGGGGTCTCCCACGCACTCTCTCACGGGCACAGGTTCCCACATGGAACCGCGTCTGGGATGCGGTCAGTGACGCCGCTGCACTGTGCCAGGGCAGCCAGGCTCTGACTGCCAGCCACTGTGCCTAGAAAATGAAAGAAATTTTTCTGCCATGGAAACTGTCCAAAGCCCCAGTCCATCAAATATAAATAAAATGCAAATCAGCCATTAGTCTTAGCACTTGCCTTCCGGTGACGGTTTGAGCCATGTAAAGATGGGGCCGAGAGGGTGCCGGGCCATGGCTGCTCAGGCGAGGAGGATGAGGCCCTGGGCTCTCTCCGCACCTTCATCACAGGCCCCCCGGGCCCAGGGCGAAGCTGAGCTGCAGGTGGAGGTGAAGAGGGCAGGGAGAGAGGACGCAAGACGCCGTGTCCCCAGAAGCCACACCGGCTGAGTGGTCTCCATAGAAATCAAGGCAGTGCAGAGCACCTTTGGGCTAAAATCACGCAGAAGTGCTTCACCTGGAAGTGGGTGGGAAACAAGCACAGGATCAAAATGAAGAGTCTTCCACGCTGTACAAAGCAAGCAGCGTTTCCCTGGCAAGCACCTCCCTCCCCGCCCTCAGGCAAATCGGATAACACCACACCAGGAGGCCAGGAATTTTCAGGAGTAAGGGCAAGCTATTCCTGACTCTCCTTCTCCGTGGACACCCTCCTTCCCTTCCTCTTCCACTGTGATTTCAGCTCAGTCTCTCTTTACAGCAGCTCAGTTACTCTGCTGCTGTCCACTCTCAAGCCACTTGCTTCCTGCTGCCTCTTCCCTCCCTGAGGCCAGCTTCTCACTGCCACTGTTTGCACCCCACCATAGCAACTGTTTTTCAGAGGTGTTCCCGTCATCCAGTTACCCCGTGTGTTTCTGAAATGTCCACTCGTAAGGTGTTTCTCTGTTACTCAGTTTTCCACTTCTTTCTGTCTTGACTCAGGTATGAAGAAGTCTGAAAAACTGACTTCCTGCAAGGCAGACTCTGCTACTGGAAGGAGACCCAATGGGCCCCTGGCAGGGTGTAAATACCACAACACACCCTCCCCGGCCCACCTGGGCAGGGGCAAATCAGACAACGGCACGGACTTGTGCACACTCAGAACACACAGCCGTGACCTGTTCTTTCACTAGCAGCCGTCCAAAGGGGCCGTCCTCACTTGGGCCTGGAGTACGGACTCCCGGGGGCGCCTATCCCGGCATCCCTCACTCCCTGGAGTGTGGCTCTGTTGTTTTTCTCGTGCCCAGATTCCTGAGCACTTCCTCCCTCCCTCCACCCACTGCCTAGAAGCTAATCCCAGTTCCCACGGCTCTAATAATCATCTCTCCTTATACTTCTGCCGCATCACCTCAGTGTTGCTTCCTCCTACACTCTCTAAGGAACTGTCTCATTTCTTAGACACGGGTCCGTGTGGACGCAGTTCTGGGCCTGCCTCGCCTGCCACTCCTCCTTTCACCCATGCCCATCCCGAACTGCCCCCACCTGCATATCCCATTGCCCGCTTCCGATGGATCACCTGTTCCTCAAACCTGCTTCAGTGCCACCTGCTCTTCCTGGCCCTTCTTTTGCCTCAGTTTGCCCCCTGGGGTCCAGTGCATTTCATCTCCTGGACCTGCAGCCCCCTGGGCCTGCTCCTCCCATCTGACACTCCAACAGGAGCTCTATGAACGCAGCCAGGAGTGACCCGAAGATTCAGAGGACGCCGGCACTCAGAATCCAGGGCATCTGCAGCTTCTATTAGTGGAAGCACTCAGGAAGGAGCAGAGATCAGGCTTTCTGAAGCCATGGGCATGACTGAGCTCTGGACCACCTGCCACTCCAGCCCAGCCTGTTGCCTCCTCACCGAAACACCCTGGGATTGGGGAAGTGTCAGGAGGACCGGGCACTGGCAGACACACTGCTGCCCAGTCAAGCCTAAACATTCCCCAAGGGAGAGGGAGCTCCAGGCGCCAAGCCCAGCACAGCACCTGTGCAGCGGACAGCTCCTCCCTCTGCCGCTATTGCTCCGGAGAGCACGGTCACCCCTCCGAGGCAGCCTGACAACACCCCCAGGTCGGCTCCGTCACTGTGCCACCCAGGCCAGCGGCATTCGGAATGCGCAGGCCAGAGCCTGGGGTTTGCCCAGTTTCTCCCCAACTTCTGCAAGCAGTTAGAAGGACTGCTTAAATACAGACCCGCTGCATCTGCTCGGCCTTCCCACCCCAGGGACTCCTGGAAGCCAGGAATTAGTCTTGGAGATCCCTGGGAGACCGAGACTGCCCTCCTCCAGCTCCACACCGATTTCTTCTCTGCTGCTCTAGGTCTGTTCATTTTTGTTTATCTAACTCCCCATTCACCCTACCGAAAGCAGATCGCTTCCCTTTCAACTGGCCACTGCTCCCTACTAGAGAGAAAGAAGGAAATAAAGGGAAAAAGGAAAGGAGGGAAGCGAGGAAAGAGGAAGGAAAGAGGAAAAGAAAAAGGAAGGGAGGGAGGGAGGGAGGAGGGAAGGAGCGAGGGAGGAGGGAAGGAAAAGAAATCATACCAGACTGGCTCAAAATCTC